CCATTCTCAACTGACGATCATTTTATGTCACATTGCTCAGAGAACCAGTCTTCTAATCGTTGTCCTAGTTCATTGGCTAATGGAACTAATGATAGTGATGAAAACAGCTCATCCGCCAATAGTCAACCGGCCACGGACAACGTCTGGTGGTGGCCAATGGATCCGCTGGAGTTGATCGCTCGATCGACGGAGGAGCGTCTCGACGCCTTGGTGGTCTGGGCACGCCAATTGCCCGGGTTCACGAAGTTTCTTTCCCTTCAAGATCAGTTGGCCCTTATTAAGTCGGGTGGGTTCCTTATAATATTTATGCTAACGGCCACTACACGTTGTTGCCATTCCTTCTACCAATGCCTTTACAATTATGTATGCAACTAATACTGTTATCACCACTATAACTACTAATAGTACCAATAATAATTGCTAGGTTTGTTCCAGACACCAAAGTAACACATGTGCCACTGGTATTAATAATAAATTAAATTGCTTGCTCTTTGTTGCGTTATATATATATTGCGGTCGACTGCGTTACTTATTTTTCATTGAAATTGGTTTCGGCACTATCGGTAAGAACAAGAATTTAATCACCTTAGGTTGCCTTAAGTAATTTAAGGACATGCTTCTCAAAGTGAAATGAAAAAAACATCGTCGATTGCAATAGAAAAATATCTGTCTGCTCTATCGGCACTTCCATCATAAATGCGATTTCGGAGACCCGGCTTGCCTTGCATCTGCCTTCTGCAACGACCATGTAGTTTATTTGTAATATCGCTATGATGCTCACGACCCTGTACCGAATTTCTTTTGGGTGCTGTAACTGAAACTTAAACTAACCAATTTATCTCAGATTCTCAGACTTATGCGAGATCGAAACTGCTGAAGCCTACTCATATAATTGAAATAGCTAAAAATATAATTGAAATATGATATTGTAGGAAAAGTTGGCTGGAAGGAATTCGTGATGTGGTCTCACCAGAAGCTGAAAGAGGATTGTCGCATAGTATTGTGAGAAGAAGTCCTTGGCTCACCGTCCTGTGCAAAGCTTTCGTCTGTACTCTGACAGACCTCATCAGAGCAAGAATCCGTACTTCACAAAATAGAGCAAAAATATAGTAAACCATTAGATAAGGTGATCGATTGCAACCCTAGTAGCATTTATACACCTAACTTCGAAATTTTAATGAGGCATATCATGATTTTGTTGGCTACTTCAATCTTTACATGTTTGCAAATGAGTGAAGTTACTTCGATTAACCGAAATCGAAGGAGATTACCTCAGGAACAGCGTCAGCGAGTCAGTAAAGCCAAACCACAGCTGGCCAAGAGGAATCCGTCGTCGTCTTCCGGTGGAATCGACCTTCGAATCTCTTCATCAAACACTTTCACTCGAAATGTAAATAAGCTCAACAAGTATGAAACAAAAGATTTCTCGAAACCCAATTTTTCTTCGAAAATAAACTATTGTACGATCCTATAATGTTGATTTATGTTTAGCTTATGCTATTATCTATTGTGCTTATGTAATGTCTCTGTCATAAGAGGTGTGACCCTAGTAGCTAGACTCGAGGCTAATCCAGCCTCCTTTTGTTCATTCGCTCTTCCTGCTCTCTCTCTTTCTCCCTACCCTTAAGCCTATTCAATGGCCACAAATGGTTCCTGCTCAGTTTTATACACTCGTTCCTCTTATTCAGGGCGTTAGCTGTTGTGAGTATTGGATAGGCTTTAGGGGAGGGAGAAAGAGGGAGAGCACTTGCGGTTCGTGAAGTAACTTAACTCATCTGCAAGCATGTAAAGGCTGAAGTGGTCCACCAAATCATGGGATGCCTCATTAAGATCGCGACTAGGGTTGCAGCCAGCCACCTTTTATCTTGGTTTAATATATTTTTGCTCTATTTTGTAAAGTATGGATTCTTGCTCTGATTATGTCCGTCACAGTACAGATGAAGGCTTAGCACAGGTTCATCGGCGTCGCAGGATGACGAGCCGAGGACTTCGCACAAAGCAACAATTTTCCCTACGCAGCAATCCTGCTTCCATTCAGACCACATCACGAATTTTTTCCAATCAACATTTCCTTCTGAATGGAAAGTATTGTCACAATATATTACTTAGGAATTCTTAGAAACCCAGTTTTTCTTCATATCTTTGAAATATGATAGTTCGCATTTTATTTCCTTATTACCTCTTTCAGCTCAGTAGCCAACTACCTTATGAAACCTGGTTGTTTATTTAAGTTAATGAGATGAGTCTGGTATTCGTTTCTATTTCTTTGACATATTTCAAACTAACTATTTAAAACACTGGATCTGGATGAGACAACTTGTTGGTTCATTCTAGGTATGTCTATCTCGTGGCTATTTACATAGTTTACTCTTAATTTTTAATTTATTTACTCAGGCAAAACAAGTTCTTCTTTGGTGATGGCTTAACATAACTTTTAGTGGCATTCACCTCATAGTTTATTTTATATGTCTCCTTCCAAAAAAGGGAGGTGAATTGACATATAATAATAATAATGATATAATTATATTCTCATCAAGACTGGATGAATTAAATATCCCCTTATGTTGTATAGACCACACAAAGGGCCACACCATCTTGGTCTTCATACCTTTAAATATCCCCTTTTTATTCAATTAGTCATTTTTTCCAACTATTCCCTTTCTATTCCACATTCTAACCTACTCGTTCGCAGTTTTTAACTTTATATTGACTAGCCCACTTACTTTGATTTTAGTATGCATAACCGGGGGCTGAGTGTTCATCGATCTTTTTATAAATTGTTTTGTTTAACTA